AGACAAAAAAAAAATGCTGCCTAGAATCTGTTTAAGCGGCATTTAGGTCCACTAACCTAGTATTTGTTTATATAGTGCACGGAGAAAAAAATGGTAATGACATTTTTGAAAAAAACAAACAGGCATAATTCTGATTATTAAAACTAAAATAATTTTTCCGTTTATATGGTAACAGTTTAAAAGAAATTCTGGTTTTCGAAATTAAAGTTTTTATTACGGCATATTTAGTAAACAATATAAACCTAAAACTTAAATTTAGTTGAATAAATAGTATTTTTGCCATGCTCTTAGGTATTATGATAAAATTTCACTACAAATTCAACAGCATTTACTAAATTTTTTCACGTATTTTAAATCCCCATTTTCTTGCTAATTTTACCAAAATCATTACCGTAGTAATATTGCTATTTTTTTCAAAATTTCTACGTTTCAGTAAATATTACCGAGCATTTTGGTTTTCTCATAGAGCCAGAAATACTGTCAATTTTACCATATTCTGGTAGTTTTGACTGTTATTTTTTCTCAGTGTAAAAGTGGATCCCTCCCTAAAAATAGCATTTTCAAAATGGACTGTCACAAAAAAAAAAATTGAAAAAATGTAGACGATTAGGTCAATAATTTATCATTTTAAAGCTACAAGTCCTCGAAAGACATGATATTGGGTTTGGTCAAGAAGGGAAAAAATTAAGAATTGAAATTTCACAAATTCGGTTAAAACAGGACCTTTTACAGTACTGAAAAAACTTTCTCGCCAAATTCCTCAAATTCAGAGACCTTTATTAAATTTTAGGGTTAAGTATTGATAGAAAATTTTCGTTTCTTAAAGATAAGTTTTGCAATCCCTACTACGGTATCTTTTGTGAAAAAATGTGATTGAAATTTTTAATCTTTTGCTAATTTGAAATAATGAGTTTTGAAAACTTTTGCCAAAGGACAAAAAAAAATCTTCCTTTTTAATCTTTAACTGAAAATTTTGTAATCATAATCATCAATTTCTTTCATACATTTATTAAAAAAGAAGTTTTAAATTCATGAAATGTATTATTGTGAAGCAATCTTAATTAGATCAACAAAATTAATTGTAGAAAAATTTAAACAAGATTTCTAATTATAAAAATGTACCTCTTTTTTGAAACTCTTTTATCTATTGAAAAATTTTAAAGAGAGTTTCATAAAGAGATAAATAATACAAAAAGTTATTAATATTATTGTAATTATTATTTTAGTTTCATGTAATATTTGACAGCTAATAATTAATTCATCATTTTTTCCATTTCAGTCTAAGACGACTGTATGTATGAAAGTAGCTGTTGCGTTGACGATTTTCTTGCATTGCTATTTATGAACTATATATTATGAGTTGCATTGTACACCCCAAAATTTTTTGAACAAAATAAAACCCTTTCGGCTAATTGATTTTGTCATTATTAGAAATTCGAGTGATTTTTGTCTTTATTCCCTTTTTAATAGTTTATCAATCTGAAATAAATAAATTTCCTTATACTTTTACTATATTATTGTCCTTAATGCATATTTTTTTGGAGGCATTTACGTAAGAAGCTGCAAATAAAATTTAAGTGCGGGAAAAAAAAGGCCCCAATTGAATCCGTAATACCCCCAGTGAGGTAATAAGGAGGCAAACGATATTTAAGAGAGGGAAAAACAAAAGCTTAATCACACCAGTGATATCCCTAGTGAGGAAACAAAAGATGCAATAGCGTTAAAGTGAGGGGAAACAATAGCCCAATTAAACTTGTAATATCCCCAGAGAGGGAAAAAAGATGCAAATAATTTTTAAGTGAAGGAGAAACTATAGCCCAAGCAAACCTGTGGCGTTACTAACGACAAAAAAAAGGATGCAAATAACATTAATTTAAGGGCGAAACAAAATGCTTATCAAATCTGTGTCATCCCGAGTGAGGAAAAAAGAGATGCAAATCACATTAAAGTGAGGGGGAAACAATAGATTAATCAGACCAATGATATCCCCATTGAGGGAAAAAAGATGTACACAACATTTAATTGACGAAGAAACAATAGCCAATCAAATCTGTACTATCCCCTTAGAAGAAAAAAACATGCAAATAAGATTTCAATGCGGATATACTAAACAACAATCAAATCTGTGATATCCTCAGGGAAAAAAAAAGAAGATGAAAATAACATTTAAGTGAGAGAGCTACAAAAAGCCAATCAAGTCTGTAATAATCCCAATTAAAAACATCAAAACCTGTATTAAACATTTAGAGATGTATCTAATTACAACCCATCGTTGCCTGTTAGTTCTGATGCTTGAATAGGTTTCATCATTTTCAGTCTAGTTATCCTCAGTAATAATTAGTCGGATAATAATCCGGTATTTTTTTCTTCTCTTGAATATTAATTAGTGATCTTTAATAAATGCTGAACTTTATCTTCATGTTATGATGCATGTATACTCAAAACTAAGGAGGATTAGTAATGTTTTCTTCTGGTCTTACTTATTGGAATTACTGTTGTCCTTAATTGAGAGACTCAAACAAATTTTGCTCAACTGTAAATTTTTATATGTTATGTATGTGAATTAACTGTAATTGTATATTAGTTATGATAAATTTGTATTTACAGTTGACTCATACTAATAACTGCTATTTGCAATTAATTGATCATAACTTATAGGTATTTGCAGTTAAATCATAGCCACACTAGCTAGTCAGTAAAGAAATTAAACATTAATAATAATATCAATAAGATGATAATCTGATTAATTTTCTTTATTTACATTTGCAGTCAATAGAGACCCAAACAAAAACAAAAAAAGTGACAGAAGAAAATTAAAATAAAAATATCTGAAAGAGGACTAAAATCAATGATTGATGGCTAATGGCATTTTTTTGTATATAATTCAAGTATTTTTGATGAAAATTTTCATTGCAAGTATCAATTCATCAAAAAATAATAAAAAATACAGTGGAGTCTCGATAATTCGAGTCTCTCATAAATCCGAGCTAGAGAAAAAAAAAGTCAGCCTTACTCTTAAATAATAACAAATACATGCGCAACAAGTGGAATAATTACTACAATTGATTTCCCGACGATTACTATGATTGGATGTTACTAAACAATATCGTGTTTAACTCTAAAATTTGAGAATAGTGTGTTTAAACAAAAAGCATTAAATAATTATTTTAAAGTATTAAACTGCTGCAGTAATATAATGCATATTGTAACTTGGTTTAATGTAATAAATGTTCCCTGATCCTCTTATATAAGTAAATTTTCTTTTTAAATATATTTTTCAATTAAGTAACTGAAAATTTTGTTTCATTAAATTTTTACGTTTTCGAAAGTTCGAGGTAGGTTCCGTCCCGTCCACCACGAATTATCGAGACTGTACATTAATAAAAATTCAGAACATAATAATAATATCCTACAGACGAAAAAAAAATTTTTTTTTAAAAATGGTGGCTAATGATAGTTTTCAAATAATTTATTTAAGTTTTAATATTGTTAATAACAGGGTAAAAATGCGAGCCAAGATCGATGGAACTCAGCTGCAATTTGCATAACAATGGGAGCCGAAAATCTGTCTCAGCGATAGCAATCCCACACAATTCCAAACGCCAAGAGATTTCCAGAGCTCTTGCGTTAGATCAACAATAGGTTGCTATTTTGTCGGGAGGTGTGGTTGATGGAAGGGCCATGTGGTGAAGATCATTCGCCATCTGCTTGTGCTAGATGTTGTATATCTCCATTCAAATGAAAAACACAGATTTTTGTAGACGAAGGCTCAACATTTTTTATTTCCTTTCGGTTTTGAGAAACATGTTCATTTCAGTAAGCGGCTCATCAATTCACAAGAGCCTAACTGCACCACGTGCATGCTGGATCCTCCCTGTGTGCTCCAGGGAGTAGGTAGTAATTTAATTTAAATCATTTGAATAAAAATTGTTTTCTTGCTGAATTTATCTGATGCATCAAATAATTAGGAGATAAGGAAAAACTTATTATGGTAAAAATCAACGATTAAACTCTAGAGCACACAGGGGGATAAAAAACAAAATTTTTCCTGCTGCTTAAGAAAGCAACCAACTATTCGAGATCCACGGGGAATACTGGTCTATCTCCAAAAGATAGCGTCCCCTCCCTAGCGGTTGCAAGAATCTCTAAAGACGAGCTATGAGTCGAGCCCTAGAGATCCTGCAAAGGCAATGAAGAGGGCGCTCCTGTTGGAGACAGCCCAGTAGGAAAAGTAAACATTGTGGTGATCCCATGATCACACCACAGTTGCTATATCGACTCTGTCTCGAAAAAATAGTAAGTTTATTTAATGAGATTTTTTTCAACTTGTTTGTTGTAGAGATGGGTCGAAAGTAACGTAACAGTGACTTGTCACAGTGACTGGAGCAGTCACTGTGACAGCCTGTTCCAACCAAAAAGTTGTCACAGTGACTGCTCCAATCACTGTGACAAGTCACTGTTACTGTCACTGTGACAAAAATCACTGCTACTGTGACTGTGACAAAAATCACTGCTACTGTTACTGTGACAGATTTCACTGCTACTGNATATATATATATAAACCTGAAAATAAAATGAATGATTATAAACATCCGAAACTTCGAAGTGGTTTCGTTTATATAAAATTTTTAAAAAATTACAATATTTTGAGTTAAATTTTTAATTATTTAAGTGAAATTTTAAGATAAGGCGCACTTTGCAGGTCTGCACCTAAGTCTATGTACGACATTGATAATATCGCATGAGAAAAATCTCACGAACAAATCAAACGAGAACCTGATTAGCGATTTTTTCGCTGCATAAAATTTTCTTCAATCGGGTCCAGATCATTCGAAACGCATTCAATGTGCAATGCAGACGTAACATGCGCGCCTAGTGAAAGAATCAATGCATCATTGGATGCAGTGAGAATAGCCTTGCAAAGGACCCTTGAAAACTTTTTTTTTGAAGTCTTAGTGACAAGTCCAACTACTATTGAATATAAACAGCATTAAACTACTCAATTTATTCAACGGAATAAACTGGTCACAGTGATTTTTTTTAATTCCTGTTAAGAAATAGCTGTGTAATCTACATTTTATATTTCAACTGATAAAACTGATGCCATCTATTGAAATAGTGGTCATAGTTACAATCCATAGAAATTTGGTGTTCTTCAATAATTTGTTATTCTTATTCTATTAAAGTCTTGTTATAATATAAATTGTCTTACAATTTTTTAGCTAAATCTTGTTATTGGTAACTAATATAGCTCTTAGTGAAAATGCCTCCCATAATACCCATTCCAAACGATATTCCGGAAAATGGCCCAGAAAATAGTTCGTCAGAGGTTGATGCTGGTCTGAATGTCAACATTATGAGTGATTCTGATAGTCCTTCAGACGACGAAAATGTTGGTCATGAAGGATATGAACCACTCTCTCAGGATCCAGATTGTTTTATTGACAACCAATATGACATTGAAGAGGTATTAACATTGATATTTATTATTGTAAATTCCATTTATTTATAATATGTTGTGCTCTTACCAATAAATTTTGAAGTTATATATGACAGTAATTTAATTTTGCAATTTAATTTTTCATGCATAACATTATGATTTGTAATTCATACTGGCTCTTAAGCAGATTTGCCATCCATATTTTTTAATACAAATTAAGTTGTTTTTACAATTGGAAGATTAAGTAATTTCTTCAATCATAGTCATGGCTAAGAAAATTGAAGATATATTGGTGAGGAAAATAAAAATTTCAACCTTAATTATTTTAAGTTGCGAAATCAGTGTTTTCATCATAGAAAAAAAATGGGTGAGAATTTCTCACCTTTCTTAAAAACAGGGTGAGATTTCAAAAAGTTAAGTGAGATTTCTAAAAACTAAAAAAAACACAAAAACTCTTGAAAAAAAAGTCAGTTCTTTAATTATAATACATTTTTAACGTCCTCTATTTTTTAAAGCATTGAATATTTTTGGTGCATCATCATAGAAGATTTTGCCTTTACAGGGTATTTGTCCATCTTACATAAGTGCATAAAAAATTTGAACGTCTTACATGATACCTTACCTACCGTAAACAAGAGGTTGCAGAGAAATGTGTTCTGAAAGGGGTTCCGTGGTTGTGTTCTGTTGTTCGAAAAGGTTCTGAACAATACTGGTAAATAGGGAAGCTAGATAATGGGGCAGGTGTTGAAAATAATGAAAGATCCAGGAAGAAAAGTGAAACGGATTTTATTCTAAATGGCGTAATTCGAAGCTTTTTCCAAAATGCGAGAAATTCGCGAATTGTGAAATTGATTTATAGATCGCGCGAATTTCTCGCGGTAATAATTTTTTAATGCGAGAAAAGAAAAAAATATGTGAGATTCTCGCATTCTCGCGCTGTAGTGAAAACACTGGAAATTCTGTGCTTAGCTTAGCACAGCAGAATAATGAATACATGGTGATGCTTTGAAATGTAATAATAAAAATTTTAAACCAAACAATATTAATTACAAGTTTGAGAGAATTAAATCTTTATTATATGTTACACTTTAAATATTATTTATAATTTTTTTTGTTTTATATGTTAGAAATATTTAATTAAGAAAATATTTAAATATGAAGACAAACAGTAAAAAATCTTTTCTTTGGTATTTGTATGTATCTATGGCGTATAAATCACCTTCACAAATGACACAGTGTGGGAGAGGCACACATACTGGAAAAAAATTACACAATGAGATACAATAAAAATATTTTTTATCTGTTAGATATTTTTTAATTTACTTTATAAATAAAATAACCCTTAAATTTGGAATATAACTTTGGTAAGATAACTTGAGATTTTCTAGTATTATTAAGATAATTTTTTTTCTTCAATATAGTAAGTGTTAACAATGTTTTAATTACGTTCCTTTTTGAAATACTGCGTTTTCATCTCAATTATAATTTTCATTGTCTTAAATTAAAAGAAAATTAATGATTATGCATCTCTTCATCATAGTGTATTTGTTTCATTTTAAGTTTTTTGTGCTAAAAAAACTATCAAATGATTAGAAAAAAAAATATATATTTTTTTATATATATACTAAGTAAAGATATATCTTTATTTAGTAATTTAGTCAGGAATAATTTGTCAAAGAATTCATACTTTTCGTACCAACTGGCTTTAAAAGTTCAGAATTTGCTTATACAGTAAAACCTCGCTACAACAATATTTTGGGAACTTAATATATACACTCTATAACAAAAAGATCGACGCACCAAGAAGGAGTTGACCAATTAAAACGAAAATTGGTGGATCGGAAGACAATGTACAGAATAGTAAATGATTAAAATTTCAGAACAATTGAATGCATTATTGCAGAGTTACAGTAACAAGTTCAATAAGGTGTTGACCCTCCTCTGGCCTGGATACAAGCTGCCACACGGCGTGGCATAGACCGATAAAGCTCCCGGATGGTCTCATGCAGTATATCCTGCCAAATTCGATCCAATTGTCGAACGAGGTCATCAACATTCCGTGCCAGATGAAAAGCCAAGCCCAGGGCGCTGCAAAAGGAACGGTAGCAAAACAGGTCTTAGGATGTCGTCGGTGTGCAGCAAGTGTACCTCTAATGATGACCAAAGGGGTCCGGCTGTCAAAGGAAATGGCATCCCAGAACATAATGCCTTGTTGAGAGCCGGTGTGGCATGCAATAGTGAAGGCAGGATCCCCCCCTGCCCTGTGCGTCTCCAAACACGTCTTCGATGATTGTCAGGACACAGTTGGAAGCGGGATTCGTCGCTAAAGACTATATGTCACCAGTCGGCATCATTCCAGCCTGATCGAGCCATGCACCACTCTAATCTGGCTCGGCAGTGTGCAGGCGTGAGTGCTTCTTGGTGCGTCAATTTTTTTGTTATAGAGTGTATATTGTTGTAAAGGGATATATTATTATATCGAGGGCCTACATACTTTGGGGATACAATAAAAAAATTTTTTTAAACTTTTAATGTTATATACGTATTAACTATAAACCTATTTATTTATTTTATAAAAATTTAATTTGCAGAGTGGTAATTATGGTTAAATATGTAATCAGATAGGTAAATATTACTTCGTAAGAGATAAGGAAGGCAATTCTAAGAATGGAAGGTCTCGGGGTGGTTTATGTACATTAAGGATGGGGTGTTAAAATCTGAATACAAAAGCTGTTCACTGTGGTGAAAAAAAATAAAACATGTACATAATCAGCAGTGAGTCTTCTCTTGTCAGAAAAAAAATCACAAAATATGATAAAATAAGATTTTTTACATTATTTGAAAACCAATAATAAATGGAGAAAATAAGGTTGAAATTTGAAGGAGGGGGGGAAACGTTTTAGAGAGGTTTATTGCTTCAGAGAATATCGTAACATTAAGAGATGGATAACATTAATTCATATGCAAGTTCGTGGGGATCACGTAACATTTTGTAATAGAGGGAGTTGTATCGGATATCGTAGTAGGGAGAGTTCACTGTATTCTGGAAAAATAATAAAATCGAAATCTTCTTTCTCATATTAAGAACATTTTCATAATATTGATTATATTATTGAAAACAACACTTCGTTAAGTAAGGGTAGGATAAAATAAGCTAATGATAAGTGAAAGTGTGTATGTTACTTGTATATTAAATAATTTAAAAATGAGCAATGACATTGATGCATAAGCAAATGGTTTCCCACTTTGTTATTCAAATTTTAGGAATTATTTATGTGTTTTAAATTGGAAGCAATTGCATACATATAGAATTATTTTCACCCTCTACTGTTAACTTAATATAGCAATTTATTCTTAGTTTTTTATGTTTAGTTTAATTTTGCATACAAAACTGAAAAATACTGCGGTGGTGTCCTATTTAATTCTACTGTATTACTTTTTCTCGGTGGAAAATTCTACGTCTTAGGAAAATTTTTATGTGCCCTGTCTATGATTGTTAGCATTTTTGTCACGCTATAAGTGGAATAACTGATTTTCATAAGTTACATAGATGGATAGGTTGTGATTACAATAAAATGGTAATAGTACAAACAAAAAAAATCAGCATATAAATATGAATTCTTCTTCTCTTTGGCACGACAGCCCAGGATGGGCCTTGGCCTTCTCAACAAGCCTATGCCAAGACATTCTTCCCTTAGCCAAGTTTCTCCAGTTAATTATCTTTAAAATTTGTAGGTCCTTTTCAAGGCAGTCTAAAAATCTTAGGTTTGGTCGTCCTCTTTTTCTTGTACCTGTTGGCCTGGCACATAAAACGTTTTTGGTTGTCCTGCTATCCTCCATTCTTATAATGTGGCCTGCCCATTTAATCCTTTGAATTTTGATAAATTTAATGACATCAGGTTCTTTATATGCTTTGTAAAGTTCCGTGTTTGATCTTCTAAACCAGGTACCGTTTTTACTTATTCCACCAAAAATGCTTCGCAGTATTTTTCTCTCAAATCTAGCTATCATATTTTCATCTCCACGGGTCATTGTCCAGGTCTCACATGCGTATGTAAGCACTGATCGTATAAGACATTTATAGAGTAACACTTTTGTTTTTCTTTTTATTAGGCTTGACTTAAGATATTTTCTTAGGCCATAAAAACACTTATTGGCCATCGTGATTCTCGTGTGTATTTCTTGTGTAGTGTCATTTTTGTTGTTAATCTTAGACCCCAAATAGGTGAAGCTATCAACGGCTTCGAATTTGTATGCTCCAATTTCAAACTGTGTTTCTTTATAGCCAGCTTTTGTGCAGGGCATATATTTAGTTTTATTTTCATTGATTCTTAATCCCATCTTAATGGCTTCCTTCTCCAGACATAAAAAGGATTGTGTTAGTGCTGTCTGCGTTCTAGCGATAATATCTAAATCATCAGCAAAAGCCAATATTTGAACTGATTTGTTGAAGATATTTCCTCGGGTGTTGATGTTTGAGTCCCTTACTATTTTTTCTAATGCTAGATTAAAGAGGAGACATGCCAAGGCATCTCCCTGTCGTACACCATTTTTAATTTCTAATGGATGAGAAAGACTATTCTGAATATCTTGAATGAAAGACTATATGAATTATATCACATTATTTCAACTATGTATAAATTGAATATATATTTATATAAATTTTTTCATACTTAATTGTTTATACCTAATTGTATATAAATTTTTTAGGATGGAAATTTTTTAGCAGAAGAGATGTCTGGTGAAATGGAAATTAGCATGATAAATCATCAGTCTTTATTAATACAGGTATACATATTTTGATTAGGTAAATGCAATTTTATATTGCAGTTGTAATATTTTGTAGATTTAGAACGTAAAAAATACCCTTAACGAAAACACAACAAAAATGCAATTTGAGCTTACTAATTTTTAACTTAGTTAAAAATTAGCAATCCATTTTATAAAAGTAACTCATTTGGGCCCATCACACATGCTTAAATTTTTTTAGTTTCCATAAATTTAAAAAATTCAAAACTGACATACAAATGTCAAAATTGCAGTAAGAGCCATTAATATTCACCAAGTTTTCAGTGTTTTGTTTGAATTTGTAACTGGCTAAGAATGTAATTTTGTACTAGAGATTTTTTTTACATTTTATATGTTTTCACCCTTTGACTTAACAAGTTTTAGAATTCTTTACGAATTTCGCTTAAAAGAATTTTCAGAGAGTTCTTCAGTAACCTGTTTGATGAAATTCACAATCCAGTGAGGATTAAATAGTCTCCCATCTTTCAAATTTTATGCCAATGTCTTGACAAATTTTACTCATTTTATAAACTCTTCATTAGTTAAATAAAAATATTCCTTTTTCATCTTTATTAGTTTAAAAAAATACACCTTAATTGACTGAAATTTTGATTATTTTTTTTAATTGCAAGTTGTTCCTTATCTCTCTTTTTAGTTTATCTATGTTTTCGTTTGATTGAATGAGCATTGAAGTGCTTATTAAACTAGTTTACTAATTATTATTTTTTGATATTAATATAATTTGACCCATTTCAATTTTAATTAGAGAAATTTGAAGAGAACTTGTGAATAGTTTTTATAAAACAAGATGTTTTGCTCTTCAGTTACCCTTATTAACATATTTATAAGATCTATTTCAACTGATTCATCATAAGAGCTGTTTATCTAAAACTGATTATGACATGCTATGTTATAGAATAGTGGTCACCAATTTTTCAATCCTAAAGAACCACCAAGCAATAAATATTCAATCTTACAGATTATTACCTCGTTTTTTAGGAAAAGATGGGAGGTTCCCCAACTCATTAGAGTGGATTTTTAAATGTCTTCCTCTAAAAAAGTGACATGTTTCAGCAATTTTTATAACTTTTGTAATTTAAAAGTTATTTAAGGTGGTAAGTTTTCAAATGAACAAACTGTATATTTTCAATGAATTTTTTAAATTTAATATGATATTCTATGAAAAATAAAATCTAAAAGATGATAATGATTAATTAAAGCTTATTTAATAATTAAAACTCGAGAAGAAAACCGCTGAAATCAGATGGTTGTGCATAAACAAGACACAATATTAACATTACAACTATTAGGCTTGGTTTATAATCACACTGAATCAGTTATATGATTTATTAGGTATCTGCAAGAGATGCTAAACCTGATTGGCTGCTAAATTGTGGCATAAATAAATGCCATGATTTAGCAGCCAATTGGGTTCAAAATTTCTTGCAGGTACTAATTATAATAGAAATATTTAATCAGTCGAAAGGTAAAAAAATTGACCGATTGGTCTAGGCAAGGTGTAGGATTTAAAAAAAAAACTATTACTGACAAAAAATTTTTTTGTTTAATTTTACATCTTAATAATTAGTAGCTTCAAGAATATGGCAACTGTACACATTAAGTTTTGTCTCGTAAACTCATAGTTGCTCTTTCTTAACCATTAAAAGAATCTCGAGTGCAAAGGGTTAACAGACAAATGGGTGCAATAATCCTTAAGTAATGATTCAATTAGCCTCACTGTACTTAAATCTTATAAATATTAGATGATTATTAATATTTTTCTTTTTAGTAGAATTTTTTTGTAATTTTTTTTATATTTTTAACTACAGAATTCAGTTACTGATGAAAAAGCTACTGGAAGACTTGTACCCGAGGACATTAAAATGGATGAAGGTGAGAGACAAGTGTTTTCACCCTATCTATTCTCTGCAAATTTTTATTCTTGTTATTTTTATTTTATCCCCTCCATATTTCAGAGCACATTGAAACCATAAAATCAGTGATGAAAAATATTACTCTACCCACTTCAAATTTACCTCAATGGGCAAAAATAGTTCCTGAAGAAGAATGGAAAACTGCCCTGTTTTCAGAGATGGTGGTTAAGAAATGTGAGAAAAGCTCCAACAGGAAACAGATGTTAGATGTTTCCTCTAATAACTGCTCATTAGATTTTCAAACTGAAGTTCCTCGATAGGAATACTCGTATAAATCCGAATGTAACTTTGAATGTTTATTTTGGTTTCTCATTTTATTTATTTAAAATATTATATAACAGGTTATGTATTTGCACTTTATTCTATTCAATATTTTATGCTTTCTATTGAGTTTATTTACACATATTTAACTAGTAGATAAATTTTTATTTCAGTATTTTACAAGAACTTTTGTTTACTGATCTATATTTAGATTTTCCTTATTGTTACTAATAATCCTTATTGTTGTTTCTTAGCATACCGTTATATTTATTTAATAAATAACTAATAGAAAACTGGTATTACAGAATTTTTTGTTAATGGGCTACATAGGAAAGTGATGGTTGATTAATTTACCCCTATAATATTTTCGGTCTATTAGGGAATAGATACAGATTTTCTATTTCATATTGATCGGAAAATATAAGTTAATAAATTTCTAACTTCATTTGTGACATAAAGGGAAGGCAAGGTTGGATGTCTTAATAAGGTATATATCTTAACTCCAATTTTTATTCTATTAATTTTCGATAAAAATGTCATAGGCTACATGAAACACATTTTATATCTTTCTGAAATACTTATAAAAATCATCTACTCCAGTTATTGTTTAAGTGTTTTTTTATTTATTGAAATAAGTAAAAAAAATTACTTGGTTTAAAGTAAGCATAGGTCAATTGTGCTATAATACTTACGTCTGATATAATACTATATAATATTTAGAGTTTACTACATTTTTTTTAAAATAGAAATTTAATTCTAACAATTTTGTATATAAATAATAATTAAATTTGGATGTGTTTCAAACTCTCATCATATATTTTAAAATTTTTATGTGATGAAAGTATTAACATTTGCTTTTATCTACAAATATTTTTCTTCTGTGACAACATAAAGTTCGGTATTTCTCCATCCATTGGCAACACTTTAGTAGGTTGTCTTAAGTAATAATTTAAGTAATGTTGTTTACAAGTATTTATTTTTGACACTTTCTAAAATGGCTGTAGAAATTAAAAATATATCGCTCATGGGCTACAATAGCGGCATAACTCAAAAAATACCCATTTTGGACTAAGAACAGGTGTAAATATGAAAATACACATTCTTTCAGCAACAATACTTGCACAACTCATAATTTAACTTGAAGATAATCTTCGTTTAAGCAAACGAAAAAATTTCCTATGCATTTTGCTTAGAAATGAAAACTTTAAACCCACTTATCTCAAAACTTGTGCCACGATTGCAGCCCACGAGTGATATATGGTGCAGCATAGCGCCATACCAAGCGACAGAGCTTGCTTTTTACAAGCAATAGCATATATGTATTATATGATACTCGAGTTATGGCAAGTGAGGTCAATGAGTAGTATAGCATGTAATGGAGCATTGGCATGAGTTTTCCATCTTACATTGAGACAGAAATAGAAATAATTTTAACACTTCCGCCACCGACAACACTGAAACCTCTCAAGGTCATTTGTCTGATTTACTGGGTGATGAACCGATTTTAAATACATAAAGAACTCTGACAATATTATGGACATCTCTTGAAAATTGAAATCAAAGTATATCCACACTGAAAAATTCGGTTAATATATTGTTATAATAGGAAATGTGGTTGAGAAATTAAAACATTTAAATACAGTTATGTTGGGCTCAGTTATTACAGTCAAACCCCGCTATAGTGAACCTTCAAGGGACTGAAATTTAGGTTCACTATATCCGTTATGCAAGCAATTTCACTAATGGTTCCCAAACTCCTCCCTTTTATTACATTATATTCATATAAATGACTGAAAAATATTATGTAGTAGCAAAAAATGTGTTATTTTTCATCACTCTTCGTCTTGCGTACAAATAAAAATTAGTAATCTTTAGCTGATGAGCAATCCTCAACATCAGATATGGAAACACTTCCCGACTCTCAGATAATTTTTCCTGAATTTCTGTTATTCCGCTTTTTAAACCTGTCTAACCTGCCATTCGAGCACATAAAAGTAGTTTCTATAGATGGTTTTAAAAATCGGTATATGTATTTATTTTGAAGTAGAAATTTCAAAATTATTACAAAGAAAATGGGGGGGGGGAATCAGTCGAAGACAGAAAAAAGTTCATTATATCCAACTTCCTCACTTTTTTGGTTCACTATATCCACTAAAAATAACATTATACGTGTATAGCAAGGCACGAGACCGAGCATCTCGTTCACTATATCCAAGAGTTCACTATAGCGGGGTTTGACTGTATTACAGTTTGTAAGTCTTAATATTTTGACTACTTCAAAAATGTATATTTAATCTGAATCAACAGCAGTTGTTTAAGAAGTATCAATTTTTTTTGTTGATGTAACATAATATTGATGCAGTTCAATATAACTTGAAAAAAATTTCAGTAGATTTAGTTTTTGTTCATTTCTGTACAGATTATAAATATACTATTTAATATTAATTGCATAATATTATAAAACAAAATTTAAGTTTATCTTATAACTGATTCTGACCATTGAATTCACACACAGTTTACTGCAAAGAAAAAAATATTTATTGAAAATCACGATGGTTTCTTTTAACTTGGACTTTAAGTTTATATTTCCTCTTCCTCCTGCAAAGAAAAGAAAGTATAATTTTATTTTGATCAATCATTAGAAACTTAACAGATAAATATTTAACGATGGTGTAAAATAATTGAACAGACTTGCGAGTAATATCAATTTAAGTACCACCAATTAAGTTTGCTTTGTCGAAAATAAATTTTTTCACATATTCATTAGTTGTGCAATTGCTTCTGCACTTTGCAACTTTATAAAATATTGTGATGCTTTACAGACATAACACATTTCCTAGTTATTAAAATTTCTTTAATTTCATAAAATTTAAATTTTTTAATCATTCTTAATCCAATTTTATCACCTTTTATAAAAAGTGAATATAAACATTTTCTTCATAACAATCAATGTAACGGCTAATTCTTTTTATTCAATACAAATATACAACACATTAATTCATTTTCACCAACTATGAATCTCTTCCCATGCTAAGTGTAAAGCGTAACTTTAAATCCGGGATATTTTAACATTGTTGCCATAGACAATTTTCACAGACCAGCAGAAAATGTTGTTGGAAGAGGGATAATGTAGGAAATGGACAAAAATGTAAAACTAGGGTTCCACTGCATATATGTGTATTGCAAAAATAAATAAAATAAAAAATTTATTTAGAATTGTTATTTTATGTATTCAAAAAGGAAAGGTAATCTAGCTATGGGGCGTATATAAAAATAAATTAAACATTTTTATTTTCACATATTTCTGATAAGTATCCAATTATACACTCTACCAATATCAAAATGGTAATAAATAAAGATAAAATTACATGTTTTTATTTAAGCTATTAAGTTAATTTATATCAAGTGAAAGAGATTATTATAGCTTACTTTTGCCTTATCCTGGGTTCTATAAGATTTCTTTTCTGCAAACTTTTGTAACGGTCTTCCAATAGGTTTCCCTCACTCTGTAAAAGAATATGTAAAATATGTATATTTGGAAAAAGACTGGCATTTAAAAAAATATTACTCATATAATCGTGCCATCTTACTTATTTTATTATTAAAAATTGTATGGTTAAAAAAATTACTCAAAAATCTTTTTTTTCTTCCATACATTCATTCTTCTTTTGCTTCAAAACCCCTGCTTTATGGTTAAATGGTTTTAACTTATTACGAATAAGATATTAAGAGTTCAATAAAAAACAACTTCCACTTCTGGATACAGTATAAAAGTTTTAACATATTAATTTCTGTTAATGAGAAAATTCTTTATACATTTTATGATAATCAACAAGCCTGGTTAGTATACTAAATTGGTCTTAACCAATTTATTGCACAAAAGAATGATAACAATTAACATTACCTTTAAAGTACGCAACGAATCACACAATTCCTCAGGTAGAGCAACTTCTAAATCTGGTGCTTCAAACTTATGTTTACTCAAGGTTAATGGTTTGTACATTTTATCAATTTTTTCCTGTAATCTTTTATCTTGTCTTTGCTCAGAAATTGATTCTTCTTCTTTTAATTCACTTTTGATGGAGCGTAATCTGAAAAAGAATATAAAGTTCATGTAAATGCTTTCCATCACCAAATTAGTAAGTATAGACCGAATATAAATAAAAAACTAGGTATTCTTATTAGTAAACCACTAAATAACCTTTATCATAATATAAAAATTTCTTTTGATACCTGTACACTTCATTCAATTGCTTCTTACGAAGTTTCTCAACTTTCTTCAGCCGTTCCTAAAGTAATAATTTCTATGTAGAAAAATTCATTTCGCTTCACAACATATAAAAATATACATTACAAATGCATAATACTTAACGACCTGCTTTAGCCACGACAATCTCAAATAAGCACTTTTTCTAAAATGCGAAATTTTCGTGCATGAGTCTTGTCGGTAATAATCTTTTTACATGAGACAGATTTTGTTTCTGTGATATCCAATTTTTTTCATATTATAGTGGAAATTGGATCAAAAGAACTAATAAAAAATATCTGATAAAAATCATGAATAAGCGGAAAAGTGGAGGAATCTTATAATTGCATGCATTTTTTTTTAACAACTCTCAAATGAAAAAAGTATTTTTTTCTCTTTTGTATGGGGAGAATTTTATTTTGATTGTCAAAAAGTGTCCGGAAAAAAAGAGACCCTTCTGGTGAATAGACACCTAGATATGGGACTTTGCACTGAATGAAAATAACTCAAGAGCCTATTATTCCATTATATGTCGGTAGAATATTGTTTTTAAAAGTAATATTAGAGCAGATGAAATAGAAAATCAAATCCCAAAGTAAAGTGCAAATGAAAAAAAAAGAAATTGTAAGCCCAATTATAAAGTTGAATATGAGAGGGAAATGTGATGAGTCAATACAATTGAAAAAGGTCATAAATAATTTTGCAAAAATGTCCTGACTGTTTGATTTGTGCTTCTCTTGACACAAACAGGGGTGATTGTGAGCTCAACTCAAAAATCCTGCAACTTTTTTGAGTAAAATCTTTGATGACGCACTTTAAAAAATCTATGCCTATGTAAGTTTAAATCATTGATATTTTCAAAACAGTTATATGACTCTAACTCTATACAATATATAACAATTATAAGCAGGATAATTTAAATTAATAATTATAAGTTTACTTTTATCTCAAATCACATTAATTATTCTACCAGAAAAAAATATTTACAAATGAAAGAAATGCCAAGTATAAATTCTAGTTCTAATATATTTAAATAAAATACACATGGATTTCTAAACATAAATGTGATAGATGATTTCTGAAAACTTCTGGACCTTAGATTTCCGGAAACTTCCAGATCATGGTTAGTGAAAAATCCGGATTTTTTCTGGAGAACAATCATCTGTGCACAAACTACTCCTGGAGAATATTTCATCAATATATAAACATATTATGTTTTAAAGATTATTTATAAAATAATAGTTTATAGTTTCTTTAACTTCTAAGTGGATACCATTCCGTTTGGCTAAAGATATGTACTGGAACACAGTTGAAGTGATCATGGCCACTGTTAATAAAAAGGCCCTAAAAAAATTTTGATATTCCAAAAGTGGAACATTATTATAAACATACATGACAATTTTTTTTCTCTTATAGGCTTTAGATACTTTTTAGAAGTGAATTTATCAAATTTCAAGCTATTTGGATTATCTTTTTTTAACTAGGCATTTAAGAGGTTAATGTTGGAGAATCTATAATCATTAAGAATTAGAAAAATTCTTACAGATTTGGCACTTACTACACAACTTTTTGCAATACTAATTAGTGATATCACCTTGACCTATAACTCATAAAAACTATCCACATTAATTTGCAATAAATACTTTTTTAAATTATAACGCATTTAAAAAGTATTAAAAAAATGCAGACTTTTTTTAGACTACAAATATTTAATGCGCCGAAACAAGATTACTTTCCGATCCCCCTAATATATTACCTATATTGTCCAGAAATCTAAAGTTACCAGAAAAAAAATCTGTGTTAGGTTTATGCTTAATTATAACATCTGCACTTAATACTTAACATATCTTAGATTGCATTCAAACTATGATGATTGCATTTAAAGATGCAAAAATTCCACCATAAGGTCACAGAATTGTAAAGTTATTTGGAATGTTATTATTATTATTTTTTCATTTCATAAACAGCACAATACTCACTTGCTCTTTCCTTTCCTTCTTTCTTCGTTTTTTAGATTTGGGGATCCGATCATCAGGAGTAATAGCAGGATTTCTATGTTGACTTAAAAGTACTTCAACATTTTCAATTGTTTCATCTTCAAACAGACCTTGTGACATCTCCGCTAAAATTGATTCCTATAAATAAATTTAAGAGTACATAAAATTAAAAAAAAAATAAAATAGAACAGATGTAATTATGACAAAAAATGAAAAATCCTGAAGATTTTATGTGCAAAAAATCTATATCAATTCATACATACATCTTTCATATTTAACATAATTTTTGAGCATACATTTTTAATTACACCTTCATATCAACTAATTTAAAAAATTAAACTTCCTACAAGAATCACGATACTGGATTTGAAAAAAGTGAAAATACAAATTGCAATATTGAATTTGAAGTGAATACGAATGCAATATTGGATTTTACAAAGGCATGAACACTAATTGCAACATTGAATTTTAAACTCGTGTGAATATGAATAGTGATAGAGGGTTTTAAATACTCATAAATACAAATCACGGTTTAAAAGGAATAGGTATTGCGATATTAGATTTTTAAATTGCACAAATAGGAGTTGCAGTGTGCGATTTTTAAATCCGGTAATTATGAAAATCGATGTTTGATATTAGTATTGTGTGAATAAAAATCGCGATATTAGCAGACTCTGGTATTTTTCAAATATTTAAAATGGCAAAAATCTGCCTAACTAAAAGAATCAAATTGGCGAGGGAATCACATGTATGTAAATGTCACCTTAACAGGATAAGTTACCTTACCTTTCTGTCAGACTATAAGTTTTAGATTAGCTAAAACCTGTGAACCAATGGTCTTGAAATATACGGAATTCTGCAATATTCGTGAACTAATTACATGCCCTGCTTCTAGCTTTCAGATCAGAAAGAATGATACGAAAACCCCGGAAATCTGGGGTACAATCACGTCTGATAATAAAATTTTTTAATCACTTACTTGTGTTGGAGCATTAGCTTTAGTTGGGAACATATCAGTAAGAACACGTTTCAAGTGTAGTTCTCCTTTTTGCTTTACTTCTTCAATTTCAACAGCCTCAGAAAGCAGATCCTATAAAAAAATTTTTTAATCATACTTGAATATTCTTATGAAGAGAATAATAGATAATTAAAAAATAGATTTGTTCAAAATTATATTAATACAAAATTGTATTTTTTACTATTCTTTATTAGAAATAGTTTTTACACAAATTTGTTAAGTTCTAAAACTTGCACACAGCTGGCAAATTTATATTCTGGACACTTTTTCCCCGTACATTAACATTTGTACAGATAACCAGTAACATTAAAGTTATATTTTACGGAGAACAATTTATCTGTGTCTTATCAACAAACATGAACAAATTATCTGTGTCTCTCAAGTTGAGGTTTAACTGCAATAAACATATAAATTGAATATTTAAAGGCTTATCAGTTAAATTATAACAAAAAGAATTCACATTAAAAATTGTCAAGTGAATCTTGAATACAATCTTGAATCTGAAAAAGACTTGTAAGAATATATATATTACAAATATTAGTAACTTTTCCTTAATAAAGTTTAAAAAAAAAAGCTCAACAGCAAAAGAAAAATGGTGTATAAAAAAAGTATCAAAAGCAATCAATCAACAAATCAATGTATTTTGCAGTATTTTATGTAACATCATCAGGGGTGCCACTTTAAAAAAAATTTCAAGACTGAACTTATTTTTTTGACCAAATAATATTGTCTAGGGTTGTTTATCAAACTTTTAGAAATTTATAGCTCACAGACACCAAAATTTACCTTTCCTTGATAATAGTCTACATATTAACTCAATCATTCGATTAATTTTTTTAAAAAATGTTTTTCATTATTTTATGTTTTTTTAGCAAACAAAACGAAAATAACAGCTAACCTTGTATATTTATTTACAACACTTACTGAACAACCTGAAACCATTCATGTCTATTTTTCACTTCACCGTTACTTATTTTTCGTTCTAGCTCTATAATTTTTTTCTATCTTAAAAAAATAATCTTGATTTAACTTTGGCCAGCATGACAATAGGTTGGGGTGGGGGAAGCAAACTCGAGCAGATTTAGATTCAGCAATAGTACAAAATTAACTACACAAGTAGATGAAGTTCAATCCACCCCATTTGTGTAAGATTTTAAGAATAAGATTTAATGAAGCTGACAAAAAGAATATAAATAAAAGTCCTGACATCATTACCATATCATATGTTTTCATTAGGATACATAATTTTTTTATTTTGATCAAAAAAATTTTTTTGTTTCTAATGAGAAAAGAAAGAAAATTTAATTAAATTGATAGAATTTATTAGTCCATTGATTTTTCTCAAGACTGATTTCAGTCCCCAGGACTGAAAAGTGGCACCCATGCTGATAATACAAAAAAAATATTTCATAACACTCTAGCAACAGCAACAATGNTTAAATTTGTTTCAAGTATTTTGTAATAATATTTAATCAGCAATTTAGATAATTTGGTTTTTGCCGGTTTTTACCAGTTTTTGCCGGTTTTTACCAGGTATTTGCCACTGTCCTGGCAAAAACCCCTTTTTGCCGGCAAAAACTCCAACCCTGGTTAAAAGTAATATTACCTGATGGTCTTCAAATGCAGGATTGTATGAAGCACCTGGGTGAGGGACTTCCACAGCTGGTAAGAGAGATGGTTTTTGATAAAGATGAAAGGGAACCTAAACATCCAAAGGAATCAGTTGAAGCAATTTAGAAATTTTCAGCACTGATCAAACACTAGATATTTAGTGTACTTTAACCCATTACTTTGGATATTAATGATTTAACATTATTACACAAATTACATTTGATATTCAATATGAAGGAAGTAAGCCTTTAAAAATCCAGATCAAAATGCACTTGCCTTTTCCATTTTTCTATCAATAGATAAATTTCATATTTGCATATAAAGAAAGCAACTTTAACTATGAATATTCATTACTTATTAAGAATACATAAATTCCCTACTGAATTATCAAAAATACAAAACACTAGAAAAGAATATCATACAAATTATGAAAGGAAATTTGCTAAATATTTTAGATCCAACCAAGCCAGTTTTGTTCCAAGTGATGAGTCCCCTAGGCAAAAATTGTAGAAAATATTGTGTGCTAGGAGTGTTTTCAAATTGAATTTAAAAAATTCTACTATGAAAGCAGAGAACAAAAACTAAAATAAAAACCATATAAAAGCAAGTGAGCAAATTATCTCAGATTCCCTTAGATTTCTCATAATCCCAATTTTCAAATTTTGTTTTTTATATGAGCTTTTTCTTTATGTCAAATTATAATATGTTGCAAAGAAATCCAGACAGATTATAAACCATATTTACAGAATAGAAAGATAAATTAATAGTAAGAGTTGGGAAAGAGTTTGACTGATACTATGAATAATACTGAAGAATGCATTTCTCTTTTATGATTATACTAAATGATAAAATAAGGAAAGGAGTAAAAATACTTTAAAAATATCAAATGAACTATAAAAAAAAAATTAAATTAGTAAGATAACTTTAGGTAAATTAACAAAAAAAAAAGATTTTTGGTCAGAGAGAGCTATTAACTTTAAATATTTATTAGTAATTTACAACAAGAAAACAATCAGGTAATGTTTATAAATATTGAAATAATTTCAAACAAATCTAAAATTACCTTAGGACCTCTTTTTTTAGTGTACTCATCTCGATATAACACCAAATCTCTGATTTCCGGATCAATTTTTTCTTCTGTTTGAATAACAAAAAACACATAATTATTGCATGATGTCATAAACAATTTTATTGAAAAGTTTTATTCAAATCTTTTTTACAAACGAATTTGGTAAAACTAAGAAGTTATATCGACATATTTAAAACAACAAAATTGAAAACATAATAATCAACAGTATTATTTTCACTATTTGACCTAGTCAAAAAAAAAATAAATACAAGGAATATCTAAAACACACGAGTAACCTCAAAAATGCTACTTTAACAGTAGTTTAGTCGCAACATCTAAAAAATAAATTAAATGTTATTAAGTATTTAAATACAATAGCTTAATAAGGGTGCAAAGGTTACTAATTTGTTATGTTATTCATAAAATGCGATTAAAGAAAAAATTAATAAAAAATTTAATTTGGAAAGATAAGAATTTCTTTTTTTAAAAAAAATACATTATATTTTGTAAAGTTATATTTGTATTTTTTAAAAAAAAAAACATAAAAATTTATATCAAATACACAAAAATAAATCAAATAGCTCATTTTAAATTCCCTTTAAATGCCTTCTTAATAATTCGTTAAATCCTACCCAGATGTACATATTTAGCTTTCAATCTTATAAGCAATCGGCTATATCAGCTATTAAAATATTACCAACAGTCCATATTTAATGACAGACTGAGTCTATAGACATAAGATTCCAAGAGAGGAATACAAGACCTATCAGTTACCAAATTAAAAATTTCTTCTTTTTATAAAATGTTTTTTCTCTCCATAAGAAAGTAACATTTCTAGGAGATCCATATGCTATTTAGTCTGCTACTCACACATAGCAATCAACACCTGCTGAAGGACGTTAGAAAAATGCAGTATAGAAAATAGCCACTTTTATTTACATTAATGTATCAAGATTTATGAAGTGAAACAAATCTGTTACCTTCACCCCATATATCTTTCACTTCAGCTGCAAATAAATCTCCTTTCAGTAACAGCTTGTCATCTTTTTCTTTCAGTTCTTTTTTACCCAATTTTTTTGCCTTTAATTGTGCAACTTTTCTCCTTCGTTTTTCAGCATTTTGTTTAACTCTGATAATTTTTTTACTATATGGCTCTTTATCTCTAAAAACAAAAATAATAATAATGTATTAACATAGTGCACCATAAGAAGCAAGTTTAAGACTAGATGTGATATTATCCTTCAGAATTAAACATTACAACAATGTCTAACTTTATTTAACTACCTTATGCTTTTATAGAAAATAAATAAAAAATAAATAAAGCATCAATTTTAAGAAATAAAATGGAAATCTTCAAATTATTAAATAATAATACTGAAATGTGTTGTTCACACAACAGATTGATAGCAGTATAATCATATGGCATTATAAAATATTTTTGCTCCAATGGAATAATAATGTAACCATCTACTCACATAAAACAAAAGACTGCAAGTAATATAATAGAAAATACAATAAAACAAAAAAAATACATACATGGAAATTGGAACAGGAACTTTTGAAAATACTCCAATATTTGAATGGCACTTCAAAGGCCCTTTTATAATGTTTTTGACCTCTAAAAAAATAATATAGATAACCAAATTAATTAAACTTTTAACTAAATCTGATTCAATTTCAAAAATTTACAAAAACTATAACAATTCTATAATAAACATATCAGGTGTAGAATATGTACGATAAAAGAGGTTATTATCATTGAATTAGAAGCATTCTCCAGCAAATTGCTATGCTTTTTAAATGCAAGTAATGGTTCTTGCCCCCCATACCTGCCTGGCAAACACTGGCGAAATAAAAAAACGGGGATTTTACTAGCAACATTTTTTCGGACTACAAATAAAGTTTGGATACAGCATGCATAATCGTGCAAGTTAAAATTGGAAATAATATAAACCCTTACATTTAGTGAAGTAAAATATATGTATATCAACCTTAATCTAAAGAAGATCTTTTTTTAAAAACCATTATTTAATTACTTAAACTATAAACAATCAGCATACTACAGTACTGGTAATAACACAATCTGTTGAGAAATAAAATTATTAAATTTTTTTTTTTTAAATTTCTTCAACAAATATGGAGAAATTGGAAAATATACGGGTAAACAGGAGATAGTTGTAAAATGCAGTCTTCGTTAAAAAACACGAGACTTGGCAGGTATTGCATCCATTGCATCAAAATTTAAATTCTTCTATAAAGAATNATTGGAAAATATACGGGTAAACAGGAGATAGTTGTAAAATACAGTCTTCGTTAAAAAACACGAGACTTGGCAGGTATTGACCCATTGCATCGATCAATACTCATAAGCTGAAAGTTGTATATAAAATGAGGGAGTGGTGAGGCTAGAGACTGTTTAATTATCTTCATCAGCTGCCACCCTCTAAATAGTTTTCTTGATAGCAATAAATAAGGTATAGTTTGAATTTTTTTGAAAGAAAAAAAGTTTTTTGTTGCATAATATAAATTTTTTTTTTTAAACCTTAAATTGCATCGCCATAATAAGAAAAAAGTAATCCATCCATATATAAGTAGGGAAAATTACCAAGTATGCACCTATTGGTTAAAATCCCGGCAATAATAACTTACATACAATTAATATCTCCTAAAAATGGTCTAAGCTTGGACTGTCTAAACTATTTAGCTTCTCAACTTAGTCGCAAGACCTAACAAGCTGAAGTTTAATTTAGGAGGAGGGAAACTGGTCACTTGATCCCAGCTTTAGAAAGAAATTTTTTTTTTAAAAAAAGTCCTCAGCATTTGGATTCCTTTGGTAAAATATTCTTACTATCTTTACCGATTAGCTGACTCATCAAGCTAACTGAAGAGGGGTAAAGTGCACTTCTGACCTCATTCGTAGTAGTAGCAGAATGTGGTTGTTGTGTAGAAAATATGCAAAGAAGCAATGGGAAACAAAAGAGATGAAAATAACATACCTTTATTTAAAACACTCATCTTATAAGATGTAAAGTAACCACAACACCATGTAAAAGAATAACTTGCACACACGTTCAAAGAAAGGACAAATAAAATTTAATGACATGTGTAAGGTTATTGAAAAACCAAATGAAGAGAGTGAAAAAGTGAGTAGTTGATAATGTGCTAAATTAGAGTGAGTAGTTGATAATGTGTCTGCTCTCATAGGGAAATTAAAGAATACTATGGTAGGGGAGGGAAGACACATCATAGATCGATCTTATCAATACATGTCATGCTCTATCAGGTCATCACTTAATGAAATAGAAACAAACAAATAAATAAATTTGATTGCATTTTCTGCACAAATAATTTGTAGTTTTAAACTGCAAAATTTTCATCAAGTAAAGTACTAGATCAGACATTTATGGCATCAGAATATATTGCTCTAGTCAATAAGTTTAGAGGAGAAATTTTATATCATTAACTCCAAATAAAATATTCACTATATTGAGTAAATCATGAAATTTCCTTTTTGATTATCATATATGTTCTTCTGATATCATCTAATAATAAATTGTGGTACATCCGATACCAAGTTTAGAGGACAAATTTTATATCATTAACTCCAAATAAAATATTCACTATATTGAGTAAATCATGAAATTTCTTTTTTGATTATCATATATGTTCTTCTGATATCATCTAATAATAAATTGTGGTACATCTGATACCAAGCAAGTCAAATTTTTTACTGTGGGTGAATGATCAGTTTTGGAATATGAACCTAGATTTGGAAACTCCTGGTTTAAATTGTCAGCATCTTGGTTTTTTGGCATGACCCTTTTGAAACAATAAAAAACTACATTTAAACAATGACAAAATAGGGTAATACTAACCCTATGGAAAAATTTGAAAATTTAAAAAAAATTCTTACAAATATTCTAATTAAATACATTGAGGTGCACATACTTCAAGTGTACATCGGTATATCTAATATTGTATCCTTGTTTTTTTTTTTTTTTTGCAAATTAAGACATAAACACAAATTGTTATTTCAAAACANAGACATAAACACAAAGGAATTCATAGACAGGTTTTAGCAACTTTAATTTTAACGTGCCTGCAATAAAAAGTTTAACATTTAATAAAAATACCATTTTATATGACTAGTAATACTGTTTAATTTTCTTATCCTAAATGTACAATATATCCTATAGTAATAAAATTGGCAATGTTCTGCAACAAGCATTTAGATAAGTAAAACTTTTTTAACGATTATACTTATTACTTGTAATTTACCTTTGAGCAAAGTCACAAAACTGAATAACAACCAGTCAATTTTGTACATGTGAACATGCATAATAAAACTCCAAGCATGTAACAGTAGAACAAGAATCACAAAATATAATTAACAAATCACTTGAACGCAAATTGTAGACAAATCGATTATTTTCAAATTTTGATGGAATATATGCAAGTTCCAAGAGATAGAATAAGCTTTATGATGAAGGGTGATTGCAGAATGTATTTTAAAAATAGGTTAAACACAAATTGTGAATCCTTTCTTCTAGAATAATAACAGGGAGAGAACAAACATTACATAATTATATCACAAATCTCAACAGTTTTATTTACAGAGCTTCATATATAACAGGAACTCCAAGGAAAGGGGGACGCAGATAATTCTAGTCAGTGTTCTGCAGTATGATGCACATTTTTTGAATTAAGAATACATAATAATTAAAATTCAATTAAAAAAAACTTTATAGCATATCAAGATATGATATACTTTAAAATTTATTACCTGGACCATCTTCAGCAGTTGTTTGCACAATAAATAGATCAGCATCTTTCTTTTCAGATACGGTGCCACTAAAAAATTAAACACCATTAACAAAGAGAATTGTAGCAAATTCACTAATAGCAAATAAATTTAACAAGCATTCCTTGCTTATAAAGAAAATGGAAATAAAGAAGTTAAAAAGATAATAATTCAAGCATTTTTTCACTATTATTATTCATAAGATATTGCTAGTACATTTCTATGCACACATTGATAGATAACAAACCCAGAGTTAACAACCCTCTAAAGTCAGAAGACATTAAATGAACTTCTAATGTGCTTTCAACTGATGCTTCGTTTTTTAATACAAATAATGATTTTTAATATCTTTCAATTAAATTTTAAAAGGTTGCAATATCTAATGGATTTTGGCAGATTTCCATATTTACATCAGCACTAAATATAATTGATAAGTTTAGACAAACTTAATTTTAGCAAGAAAGTAGAAAAATAAAAACATTACAGAACATCATGGCCAGTGAGATAGTTCAAACTCATAAACATCATCAGAAGAAGCATTATATATTTATTAAAATTTGTTCAAAGTTAAACAACTGAGTATTTTCATGTATCATAAAAGTACTTTTTATATTTGTCTTAGATAATAATTTGTAACTTATATTTTTACAAATATTTATGCATAAAAAAAAACACAAATATTTAATAAAATTAAAAAAAAAACATAAGTTTGTGTCAAGAACTGTAATGAGATAATATAATTGTAGTTATATAGCAAAAATGATAATCAAATATTGGAAATTTATTTTCAGTGATAAATAATAGACATGAATTAAAAGCAAATACCGTTGAAGAACAAATAATAGTTTTAAATTTTAATCTCAAAATAAGTTTATAAATGTTAATAAGCAATTCGAAATATTTGCATCTATGAATTAAAAAGTACATCATTGTTCGATCAGTGTATTATTTACATAAAATTGTAATGGAGTGTTTGCAACAAATAACCAAGTTTTCATTTTTGTATCCTCCTGGTTTCTCTCCATCACTGCCATTAAATGGAGAGTATCTGCTTTGCGATTGGTCAGAAATAGTTGTATCAAACTCAGGGTTGTAAAAAAACCACCCGGGTTTTACTGGGTAAAACCCACCCTAAAGTGGGTTTTTCTAAGATTGATTTCTTTTTTTATCCTCTGTTATATTAAAGAGCTATTCCATTGAAATATATATGTAGTCAGCCTAAAAAAATTAACCTATGGTGAAAAAACTAACTATGTTGGAGACTGGAGAGTCACTTTGCTGGCTAGATTTGACTGTATGGCTATTGATTAGTCAGTGCCTTTGATTCGCTTTCTATGCAAATAAAANTTAACTCGTAGTCACCCCGGGGCAAACATCCACATAATTTTTTTTAAAAATTTTAAAGTTTCATATCTATTTGGCACCTTGGCGATTGTAGTTGGAGCTACTGATCACAATATGGAAATATCACCATGTATCTTATGCTGAAATAGTCACCGAATTTTGGCCCGCTGGAGACTATAAAAAAAGATACGGGTAGACTATACTTGAGGGTGCCCCTGCCAAGTTGTGATCGCGGATGATCGCCAAGTTGTGATCTGATCTGCTGGTGATAGGTGCTGAAAACCAATCGTGATTCTGATTGGTTTATATTTTAATTTTGATTAGTTTAGAATTTAGCGTTGTTTTTTAAATGTAAATTCAGAGATCCGTTAGTTCTACTTTGGATACCGGCTGGTAAGGTTATTTTTGCTTCTGGTACTAAAAAGGAATACTGTCAATAAGATAAATCTTAAGTTTCTATACGATTTTAATAACAATGAAAAAAAACAGTGATTGACGGGTGTATGAATGAAGGTTTAATTAATAATAGATATAAATGTCCTGTTTGTGGGTTACCACGGTGTTCCGGGCAAACAAGTATGGTGCAAAACATAAGTCGCCAACTTCGCCAAGGGGCACCCTCAAGTATATTTTTCCCAAAGATACTCCCGGGACAAGGTATACAGCCTAAAACCTTCCTATACCCTCATGAAATTAGTTTCAAAGTGTTTAGAATTATAAATTTTAAAAGAATCTTACAAAAAAATGTTTTCTATACTTATGCTACTTCAAAAATAAAGCGAGCCCTTAGGCAGAACATACTCTGAGGAAAAGATCAAGAATCATATAAAAGGTGATACTTTTCCATTAGAATGCATAGAAGTGATGACAAACTCATGGAAATTTGCCTAACGTGCCTACTACTACCTACTCGCTCTTTCAGTGTGCGGTCTTCCTGAAATTTCATTAGAAAATATCCTGGTCACGTACACAAATTATTAAATTACAAACATGCAGCAATGTAATATATGACATAACGGTTTGAGATAATTTAAACTTGCAAATTTGGTGTTCCGACTATTACTCTTTGTCAACACACTTTTAAACAGTTATATTTATTGTTCAAAACCATATTAAGCATACCCTATTCTCTCATCAAATCTTTTTTCTTCCAAATATTCTTCAACCTCCGTAATATCTGTCTTTTTCCATGCTTTTTTCCTATTTTTACTTCCACGTACACGAGGTTTGGGAGGTATAGCCATGTTTTGTTTATTTTGAAATGAAAGAAACCCAGTTACAGTTTGGAATTTTCTTAGAAGTAAAGGTAGTAGTTTATGAAAGTGCAAAAAATACGCAAGTGTAAATGGTGTAAATGAAGTGAAGCAACGGTTTGTTTATATTTACATTTGATGTGAAGGTTGAAATTTGAAAATTCGGTTTGATTTTGAGAAATATGTTCAAGTTTATAAGTAAAATGTAAACTTAATAAAATATTTAAGTCATGTTAACCATTTATTAATTACTAATTTACATTTAAAACAGTAAAATATTGAATATGTTTGCCACTTATGTTCGCAATTTATCATTTTATTACAACATTTTGAACCCTTTTATTAAAAAAACGGAATTTTTTCGCAACGTTCATTTTATACGAAGATTTTCAAATATTACAACTTTAGATGTTTTTGATAGACAAACTAAAAAGATACACAGAAATTGGTCGGCAAAAATCAAAGGTGGCGAAGTTTATGATTATTTGAAAGATGAAGTAAGCTACACAAACTTCTCTTTCGTTGTTTGTAACGAGATTTAGTAAGAATCAGAAAATATTACCTCTATATCATACTTATTTGTATTTATAATCAATTTAATACAGGTTTGTTACTCGTCTACTGTATTTTCACACGTTTGGAGCAGTAAATCAAGCTATTTCCATAAATTTGTTTTTGTAAAAATAATTCAGGATTTTTCTTTTAAATCATTGCAGATAATTTTTAAGTGATAATATCTTATAAAAACGGAACCTCATTGCTCAATATTGTGTGTACTTTTAAACAACTTTAATTTTACCCGTTATGTTTAATATTTATTATTTTCAATATGTTAGATTTTTTTTAAAGCAAGTTTCAAATTTGTAAGCAATTTCGAATTTAACTTTAACTAAAAGCTTTGTTTACCCATTTCCCAGGTTTTGTTAACATTGCCTTGTAAAAGATCTGTTCTATCTATACAATATGAAATTTTTAAAGGTAAATACACACTCTATTTCCTATGCATAGATATAACTTTCAAATTTGTTCATAGTTGACAAATTTTTTTTGAGCTGAAAGTTAAGAGGTTTCTCTTGAAAGTGCCTTTTTTATAATTTTATCTAATATACTGTTTAAAAAAAACAATATATTGTGTACTAAAATTATGTTATGGTAACAGAATATAGTAGGCTGAAATAAATTTGAAAGGGTGGATAAAAATTAAATGTCACATAAAGGGCAGCACAAGACTGTATTTTAAATATGTTGATATCTTACTGTTTAGTGTTGAATCAACATAAACTTAGTACATTTTCTCTATTGGTATTTGTTTGTGCCTTCTGGAATTGCCAAGAAACGAATAAAACTGCCTAATTCTTATAGTTGTAATAAATTGTTTTAAAAGATGGCTTTCATTGAGGTGGTTAATATTTTGTGATTTTTTTTTTCTATATGCCACTGCTGCTTAGTTGTCATAACACTTGGTTACCATTTTGGCACAGATATAATGAAATAGAATTCTCGTCTAGTTCAATAAAGTCTCTATTATCGGAATATTTCTACAAATAAATCCTGTTTCCATTATTTTAATAAACATTTGGTTTGCCTTTTTTTTTACTTATATGATGTGTGTTGTATTGACTCATAGATAGTCTTTTATTCTACATATATATTTATTGGATATGACTTAACAACTTTAAAAATACCAGATGCCACATAGGTGCAAGAATTATTTTTTGAAATTGGAAAAAATTTAACTTCAACTTGTATTGTAGCTATAACATCTCAGGTATAAACAAAACTTTTTTTGTCATTTATGTAAGGAAAAACCACCATTGGATGAATCATGCATCACTGTGCTTAGTAGTACAACAAATAAAACTTTTTTATAACCCTATTGATAGTTTTTATAATGGATAAACACTGATTTTGATTATCTGGAAATTTAGATTTTTCTTATGAAGTTCAATCTAAATCACTTCAGAAAATTGAGATTCTACTGAACTAGTAAATGATTTACTTACTTTCTCTGTGAATATATATTGATGTTTTTTTTTTTCTTCAATCAGGATGTCTTAATGAATATTTTGAATTTATTTAATTAGATTGGTGACAGGGTTGCAGATCGTGTATTTGATATCACTAGGTAATTTTGCTGTTTTGTATTCTTAAATAGTTTTTGCTATTGTGTTTTTTAATCATTCAATTTATTCATTTTTTCTATAAATAAAAATGTTTTAAGTTTGCTTATAGTTCATAATTATTTTATTATTATTCAATAATAATATCTAAATGTACATACTTTTACTATTATTTGAAGCATAAAAAATTACATTATAATTTTGATTAATGAATTATATCATAATAGATATCTAAGAATTATAATAGGTCTCTTTAAAGGTTAGCTGCCTCTCTGACTCAATTGTTTACAGTTAAAGTAAAAGTTGTTATTTAGTTAAACCAATACATATTATTAAATATGCATTTACATGATATTCTTTTAAAAATTTAAGTGAAATATCTATTTAAAGACATATTTTTTTTCTTAATTTATTTTTATTACTAACATTTATTCAACATTATTACATTTATTCAACTTTTATATTTTATTACTGATTGCACAATTTTTCAATAGGGATTTGTAAATGAATTTTGCTTGCATTTATTTTTTACCAAAAGTGTTTCAGCCAATAGCACTAAATTTTACCTATTCTTTGGCATTTTTACTTTAGAAAATTTTAATTTATTTTATATGTTGTGAAATAATTTGGAAGATTATTTAAAACTACAAAACATCTGTTCCAAAATTTTTATCTTTATTTATTTATTTATTTTAAAGTTGATATTGCAAGGTGATAAAACCATTGAATTCTAAATTTATGTAAGATTACCTGCTTCTTTGACTGAAACAGAAGTAAGTTTATCTTTTGCAATTGTTTTTATCAAATTATGCACTGAAAGAAAATTAGTTGTTGGTAATAAATTAAATAAACTCAAAACTTTTCCTTTGAACATAGCAAAAAACTACTTTCTAGTCTAACCTGAAACTGAAGAGTGGCTGTATTATCGACTGAACACTTATAGCCGATGTAATTTAAAAAATTAAAAGGAGCAAAAGTCATTTATGTAAAAAAAAAAAAATTATTTTAATGAGACTATGGTGTCTTTTTAAAACTAAGGGGTTAAAAAACTATTTTATTTGTGGTTTGTTAAAAAAAAATCCTTTTATCAGAATTCACGTATATTACAAGTAAAAATAATTTTTTAATTATTTATTAAATTTAATTCTTACAGGACATAGCAGAACATATATTACAAGTAAAAAATTTTTTTTAATTATTTATTAAATTTAATTCTTACAGGACATTTACTAATTGTGTGGAGCTAGGCTGTGGAAAAGGTCATATTTCTAAGCATTTAACACCAGTGAGTAAACTTTTGAAAGGTCTTAATATCACTTTTATTGATTTGATGAAAATAAGATTTTTAATCGGATTGTTTTGCTAGTTTTAAAATTTTTTATAATTTGTATTAAAAAAAGTACTAAAAGTAAAAAAATGTTAGATCTTTTTATAAAAATATATATATTTTTTAATTTTATGTTTTCTTCTCTAATTTAAATGCTTTAGATTTTAATCTTATCTTTTTAGGATAATGTTGAGATGCTATATCAGTGTGATATTTCATCTGAAATGGTGGTATGTATCTGTCGCTTTAGCATTTTAAAACTCACAATAAACAATTTTTAGCAAAATGGTTTATTGCAAAAAAGTTAAGTGTACGACATTTTGTATATTCAATTGTTCTTGTTCTCCATAATTTCACTGCAAACATGTGAAGTTATGTAGCATTGAACTTGTTAGTATTTTCAGTATGTTAGTATTTTCAATATATCATTGTGATATAAACCTTGTAATAAAAGGAAATATCATTCAGAAGTTATTGCTGTGTAAGAAAAAAAAAACAACAAAAAAAAAAACTCTGTAATATTTCTTTTTTATTCATAAAATAATGTTTATATCCATGTAAACAAATCTAGATTTAATAAAATAAATAAATAAAAATATATCATATATTTTTTTATTAAAATTTTTTTTTCTTTAATTAAAATGATCCATTTGGACATTTAATCTGAAAGTAGAAGAGTTAAGTTTTAGGATAAATATGTCGGGGTGTCCATATCTCTCTCCCTTTCTCATCAAATAAGGGGCCATGTTCTGCTCAATGGCTAACAGATGTAAACAGATGATCTGCTGAAATGATGGAATCCTGAATTTATTCAGCCATACTTTCTTTCCATCTATATGATTTAGTGCTGTGGAATTCATATCCTAGAGTTGCTATGATTGCTGAGAATCAACTTTGCATCTTCCTGCCACATACCATGCTAGTAACATGATGAATGTGCTAATTGGTATCAAGGAAAGCATACGTAAAATGTACATAAAAACTTACAATTTTAGAACGTCTTTGAACTGCTAGTTGTTGAGCAGTTGTGCTTCTTCTATAGGCACATACAAGATACCTACAAACTGTTCTTGTATGTGCCCGTTGTAGATGTTAAGCAGTTGTGCTTATTTTATAACAAATTATCCTCACGTGTGCCTGTAGTAGTTGTTGAGCAATTGTGCTTCTTCTACAATGAACTGTTCTTCCTGTATGTGCCTATTGTAGCTGGTGCACAGTTGAGTTTTGCATACAACTCAAACCAATTCTTCTCTTTACTTAAATTTATTCTCTTCCTTTAATTAGAAACGAAGTAATATATGTTCTGAAATACCCACTGTTAAGATGGTTGTAGATGAGGAGTACTTGCCCTTTTCTCCAAACAGTATTGAACTTTTTGTGAGCAGCCTAAAGTGAGTTAATATTATTTCTTATTATTTTTTTAAAATATTATATTTGTTCAATGCTTATTTTTAAATAGTATTCTCTTCTTTTTTTTCTAATTTGTATGTACACTAAAGTAAATGAAATAAACTGATGATTATAAATAATTACTGGTTATTATATGTTATCACTTGTATTGTAAAATTTGAAAATATGATAAATAATGATAATTATTCACTTTGTTTATGCAATTCCCAGTTTGTAATGGCATTACATCTGAACTAATTGAGGCAGTCAAAAATAATATTTTATGTTTTGCAAGTAAAAAGTCAATAAATTGTTATTAATTTTTAAATCCTAAAACTGTAGCCTGAATAAAATTTGAATAACATGTATTTTTTTTTTTATTCCATGTAACTTAACCAACATTGAACAAGTGCAACTATGTGCCTTTGTGACATCTGCTCAATTGATATTGAGTGAGATTTACTGCCTCTTTCTTTGGAAATAAATTACTGCCTTTCAAAATATTGCAATAAACTATTTAACTACAATGATTAGCACAGAACTTTTGCCTTTTTCTATTTTTGGCATAACAAGCACTTAAAGAAACACAGTACTTTTTCTTTGGCAAGAGGGTTTGGCGTGTTTTCTGATGATGTGGAACCTTACTCCTGAAACTCCTTTTCTTATTTTAAATTTGACCTTTATAAAATACATTTACAGACTGGACTCCTGACCAAGTTTTGTAAAAAATCAGTCAAATGGTCCAAAAAATTTACAAGACAGATGGATTTCGAAACAAGTCATACCATATTCGGTTCCAAAAATGTATACTGATAGCAGCAGGGTTGATAGTAGTATTTCTGAAAGTGGCATGCATTTTGAGACAACTAATAACACAATTGATTTAAAGATTAAAAATAATAACTACTGTTCTGTATTTAGATTTAAACTTATTGTAATCTATAAAGTACTACAATTTATTAACACAACCATTGAACTTGTCTTTAGGGACATTTGAATTTTAATGGACAGTTGGCTCTCTATATAGCACCTTTCTCAATGTACTTTCTTTTGGATGATTATTGGGGACAAGACGAGCCTAAAAATTCTAGATCTTGGTGGCCGGCTTTCTTCTAGACCCTTTATACACTTTTAATGGGTCCTTTCTCATGTTGAATTGAATGGTAATAAGATAACCAATACTTTAGCCAAGACTGCCTTTGCTGACACTTTGCATGGCATGGCAGTCTAACTTATACGGAAATTTCCTCAATCAAAAGGATGGGATTAGGGATTAAACACACTTTAAAGAGCCCCACTTGCTCATTCATTGTACTTTGGTAAAAGACCAAGATGGTGTCACCAGATCATTATTCTTAGGAAACAGCAGATGGTTCTTTAACACTTTTTGAGTGGCCACATCCAATCCCAACAGGGGCAGATACTCTTTTTTGAGTGTCATTGGTGCAAGGTAGATCATATTTCCCCATATCACATTCTTAAATAAATAAACTTTACTATTCTCACGATTTAAAAGGATTCTCTTTTATTTTCCGACTTTTTAGAGAGTTTACATTTTATGGAAATGATTTTAGGATAAAAAACTTTTTTTTTTATTCCATTATTTATTTTGTTGCAATATAATTTTTTTAAAAAAGGCAAAAGTTTTCAAACAATTATTTAATCTTTTTAAATCTAGATTTTTACCATTGATATATATTTAAACAAAATGTTCTGATTAAAATTTTATTTTAGATTGTCACATAGCTTTGAATGTCTTATGCGCAATATCAAAAGTCCTCATTTACAAAAATTGAAATTAAATGCAAACTGCTTTCCTCTACACATATTTTTTTTTTTTTTTACCAACATGCTTTCATGTACCTTGTTTTTAATTATCTTAAAATGTTATAAAAATTATTCTCACTTAAAATTTGTAGAGTTTTTTTTTAATTTTTTTAATTATTATTTCTTTTTAGTTTTCATTGGATTAATAATCTTCCTGGAGTATTTGAGCAAGTAAGTTACTGCAAATATATATTGCTAAAAAGATACAAGGTTGGCCAATAAAAAAGGAAATTTTTTTAAGGAAGAATGTACCGTTAATTTTTAATCAAAATGTGTGTAAAAGTTATTAAACTATTAATCTATGAAGCCCTAAGAATGAATGTCTATTAAATATTTATATCTCGAGAACCTCATTAAAATATCTTAGTTAAATAGTTTTTAGCTTCAATATCATGCACATTCATTTTCTTTAAAAAACCATATGATACAGGGTAACCAAATGAAATTTTTTATTTCTTTATTTAGTTTCTTATAATGTAATATTGAAATAAATAAATTAAATTAAATTAACTCCTATTAATGAAAGGATAACAGTCTAATTGGAAAGAACTTTTAACTCAAAACTTGCATGTATTATATTTTTCCTGTCCTTAATGTACAAGGTAAAGTAAGAAATCAACTTTGCTTCTAGTACTAAGATTTAAACATTGATCAATTTTACATGGCACATGTGCCCTCTCTTTTATTGTGTTACACCCAGAGCTGTGGGTTAGATAGTTGTGAGGTTCAATTTTAGAGCTGCCTTTAACTCATTATAACTTTTTGGTTGACTTTAATTTTTTAAACAGAATTTTCAGAATAGATAAATATTAAGCAGAAGATTCCTATTAAAAGAAAATTCCAGATTATCTCATAATTTATTAATGGTCAAAAAGTTTTTTAATTAATAGATAGATAAATTTCATGTATGAAACCATGTTCTATATTCATATTACATTCAGACATTAAAAAATTATTGTGAAACTGAATTTGAGTAGAAAAATATTTCATTTCAATTCAATGTGTGTGTATTTAACTTATTTCTTCAATTTTTTAAAAAAAATATTTTATTATTGTTTTGTAGATTCATAAATGTTTAAAGCCTGATGGTGTTCTTATAGCATCTTTATTTGGTGGTGATACTTTGTTTGAATTACGTTCTTCTCTACAATTAGCTGAAAATGAAAGAGAAGGAGTGAGTATATATTTTTGTATGTATTTAATTTCAAGTTAATATCCTTAAATTTGATCAGTTCATCATTGTACCTATTTTATGATCATATAAATAATTTAATACCAGATTTCATGTCCTTTAAGTGTTAACATTTAACAATAAAAATTCCCGATAAAATTATTCAGATTGTTTTATTACAGTAGGACTCATATTTAAGTAGATCTAAGAAGAGAGAAATACTTGATTCCGGCTTCTTAGGCTAAATTTGACCCATTCGTCTTTCGAATGTTAAATAGCATTTTGTGAAAGTAAGGCAAACTGATGTGGTGAAACCTTTTAAAAACCCTTGTTATTCAGTCTCTTTTTTTTTTTTTTTTTTTTTTTTTTTTTNAAATATGCTAAATAATTAGTGCTACCTAGTAATTAAGTTACGAAATCAGACACAAAAACGTACTTTCTCTGAATAAACATACATTTTTTTTTTACATATTTGGATTCTTAACCTTCAAAATATAGGGAGTAACCGCAATCTGGGAAATATGGTCCCCATAGTTTGGTCAGGAGAGCGATCCAAAGTTGGTACCCCTTAATGTTAATTTCACTTTTTACGTTTTTAGTCATATTTTCAAAACTAATAAAGCAATTTAAAGAAAATTGCACCCACTCATAAAACTCTTTTACCCAAAGATAATTTCATGAAAAATATAATTTTGAATAATTATTAATAATTTTTTATTATTTAATTAAATTGAGGATGAAAAAATTTTGAATTATAAGGTATGAATTTTTTTATACCATATTAATCTACATATTTTTCAAATGTGATAAACTTGCGAGGAACTTAACTTCGCGCGCGTAGTGTAAAATTTCATTCATATTTTTTTCGCTAATAATCGTTTGCTAATCTTTTTATTTTTATTTATTTCTAACTATAAAATACAATGTTTCCTTTTTAGTCGCTTAATAATTTATTTGCAATATAGTAAAGAAATTTGAATAAAACATTTTGAATAAAAAACACTTTATTCAAGGAATATCTAGTTTTATAAAATAGGATATGATATGATCTTCTGATAAGAATATGATTATACACCAGATTGTGCTTATTTAATGTTATTTTTTTTAATTTTTTTTTTCAATAACTGATACAATTTCAATAATATGCATACGTATGCATAGATTTGGACTAATATGTTTATCAGTTTCTTGAATATATATTTTATAAATATTAATAAAAATACATAGTCAATAGTTTTAAGCATCTCACAACATCACAAATTTTCAACATCTTATAGGGTAAATTAACGAATGAAGGAACACTTAAGCTTAGCTTGCCTTTAAGAAAAAATCATAAAAATTTCAAAATTTGTAATTTTAGCTAAATGATGGTGTCGACATATTTGTTATTAAATACAAATTATGTAAAAAAATTTAGATAACTTACATAATATTGTTTTAAGCTTTTGGTGGTTTAAATAATAAGTAGTAAGATGACCAAGTGAAGGAACAGTTCTTACCAGTGAATAAACACTAAATTTTCCAGAGAATGAACACTTAATTTTGATAATGTTTGATGCTCGTTAGGAATCCATAGGCCACACAAATGTCTAAAAACAAGATTTTTCTTGGAATTACGACATATAACCATAGTTAATGTGGAAAATTTTACTTTTTTTTCAGTCATGGAATGGAAAGTAAAATATGTTTGAATACATAATTTTA